AACCACCGGGCCCAGATGGGATAAGGCCGTGTCTACACCAGCAGGTCACAGAAAGTCTGCTCCCACAACTTGCTGGACTTTACAAAGCTGGTTTTCTAACGGGCTATGTATCCGCGGACTGAGATAGGTCAGAGTAGTCTTTATACTGAAAGCGAGGGACAAAAACGAGCACCTACTGAAACAATATAGACCCATTTTTCTCAGTTCCTTTCTCCTTAAAATCATGGAGTAAGCTTTAGACAACTTCATCAGGGGCGCCTACGGGGAACTAAGGCCACTTCACAAGCACCAATTTGCCTATCAAAGCGGCAAATCCACCACGACGGCAATTCACGAACCGCCCGGTATCATCAAAAAGGCAATAGAAGTCCACCAACTGGCTCTTGTTGCTTTCATTGTTATACAGGGAGCCTTCGATTATACATCGTCCGTAACTACACAAAGAGCCCTGGAAAACAAAAATATTCCAAACTTGGTTATCTATGGTTTGCCTTTGCGGAGATTATGTGGAAAATTGTGCGCCCTGAGCTGCATCAACCTGTCCAGGCGATTGATTCCACTCTCTATTGTCAACAACTAATGCGGTGCGTACAGGTATAGCACTGATTAGGAGCAAACGCGTCGTCTGCCAGATCATATGATTCACTAAGTCGTCAAGGAGTTAGAGAGCTTGAATGGACAGTTTCGATGCACTCACCATATCGATTGGAGAACGTCCAGGCTAACTACCAGTTATTTCCTTCCGCGGAAGACTCAATTAACTGCATAAAGCTGACTTTTTGAAGACGCCCGTAAACATCACTTGTTTAAATTTTTCAGCTACTCACAAAGAAGGCTTAATGGTTTTCCCACAAAAATGGCAAAGGGTTATGAACCAAAGCGTTTAGCCTAGTTGTGCTTATGTAAAATGTAAAAAATATGTGTTTAATTTTAGTGAATAAATATCATGAACTTTTTTCTTAGTAAATTATCTGTCATTTGATGACGCTATCGTTGCAGGCAAGCTCTAAACTTTTTCACATAAAGGACTCAATATTTATTCACAGTTGCGTTCATTTATTAAATACTTATGGTTGATATCTAAAATTTGACTTTCTCTAAATGTAATTAACTGACATCAATATGTTCAATAACATTTCTTTAATGCCGCCGAACTTCTCCAATCCTCGACCGCACCATACTATAGCATGCGCTTTCTCATATACATATCCCTAATAAATTTGAAGTGCAGTAAAAGTCCGAAATTTCACAAAATGGCTCTGCCTTGTTACGGAATTAAGCTACAGACACATTTTTGTTCTTTTTGTCATACTCACCGTTAGAAGCTGAGAATATATTTATTTTATCATGGAGTAGTGTGCATAGTCAGTAGTAATATTGCATCAACGTGAAATTAACTACATTTACCTGAGCGAACATTCGCATGGATTCATTTATCCTCCAAGAATGTCGAATAGAGCTTTCCCTTCAATTTAAATATCAACAATTTTTTGCCTACAAGGTACATTCAAGAACTTTGTTCTATATTGTTAGGTCTTTCCATATATAAGAGCCCTATAACGAAACGTATATTCAGGATTAATGGGAGCGTTTGTCTGCCTGGTTGTCTGTCCGTTACTCGGTGGTTTTCAACATCACATAAATTGCGATAGAAACTTAAATAAAGATTTGTATCAATTCTTTCTTGTCTTTACTTATAAGCCAAAAAAATTTGACGCGACTGGGGGCAATTTTTTGAACCCTCTCTTATATAACCGTTCATACTAAAACTGAATCTTTATATGATGAAAAGGTATAATTTTCAATATTCTATGATGAAAATTAGTCCATAGTAGCAGTCTAGGAAACATATTAATCGTAGGGAATTTGAATCTCATAAGTCTATTTTTTAGACACGAACAAATATAGGGGTTATCATGAAAAAGAAGCCCTTATAAGCAGAGAAAGTCCAATATTTAGCTATTTATGACGGAAACTGAAAAAAGTAAAATTTTTCCGAGGTAAACTAAGTTTGGTAAATTTGGATCATACCATGTAATGTTGCGGAATTCTCCAATAGGAGGGCAGGACTTTCATGAAAAGTATTCGTTTGTATGAAAATATTTTTGGTAATTTTTGGTGTACTATTATCAAAACGAGTAAATAAACGGAGTAGGTGAACGGGTATAGGGTAGCCAATAATCAATGGCCTTGTCCGACTGTAATTTACTTACTTGTTCCTGTATATGCTATGCTATCAGGCAAGCGCTCTGCTTTTTAGTCACTGATAATATAAGTTTACAAAAACTGTTAATATTAGTTACTACGCCCGCTTCCAATTCGTTGGAACCGTATTCACATAGTGTGTGAAAACCTTTACAAAAGCCAAAAGGAAGTCTCACATATCCTATTCTGA